TTATCTGACGCATGCAGATACACACCAGGAACCTGGAAACTTAAAAAATACTGAATTACAAAAAACATTTAAAAAACAAACATGTTTCATTGATATATATACAAAAATGAATATTAGGAACTATATTTATCAAACATTATACTGGGCAAGGAAAAATAGTTTCTGGGCAAATGAAATGTGAAAGTCACATTTACTGAGCAGGCAAGAGAAAAATGGAAAAATAATTGTTTTTAATTATTTAATGTAGGGAGTGAATACAAATATAAAAGGTTTTTATTTGCGAAAAAAAAAGCTGCAAAATAAGGATATTTTTTCTCCCTCGTAATTATGCAATACTTTGTGTGTATACCATAAATTACATGAAATGTTTGGCAGCGGTGTGAAACAGTTTGTTGCTAATAAAACCCTTGTAGCCCACCTGAGTAGAGTGATGCCGTTTGAGTTGCCTATATGGAGTGGAAGCGGAGGGCGTTAGCGGTTTGTTGTTGTTCACGACTCTGGAGAAAAAATCCTGTACGTTCATCTCTCCATCATCAGTCAGACTGAGGCGGACATCACTGTTCACCTAGAAAAATAAAAGCTGTTGTTTAAAAATAACTCTCTTTTTGTTTTCAATTTTCTATTCATTCTCAGAAGCTGAAGGATTGGCATTGAACTTCCTTCCCTTTCAGACTGACCTCCAGGCCCAGATGTTCACACAGAGCCAGCAGTTCAGAGTGAGCAGCACAGCCGTCCCAGTCCATCTCCAGCTCCTCGCAAGCTCCACGCAGTCGCTCCTCCACGCGGGCCGACAGAGGCTCGCTGGTTCCCCGGGGCGTGCTTGGCTCATCGGGGTTCCAAAGATGCATTTGACCTTTTTGAAGAAAACCAAATCCACTGCTGACAAACTTTATCGCTTAGAAGAAAACTTTCAGAAATTACCGACTCCCACGTACCCTCAGCCTCGTACTCCTCTGAGCTGCTTTCGTTGGGATTCCAGCGCTGCAGGAGGAAATAAAACACAAAAGTTAATATATAAGAACGAATGCTGGAAATAACAGTGTGGTGATTTCTCACAGTCCACTGCTTTCAGGGGCCGATTAAAGCGGTTGAGCAGGTGGGACCTATGATCTGAAAACTAGTCCCAGAGTGGCCTTCCTTTGTCTGCAGAGGCAGCCCAGACGGAGCAGAGAGCAGATGGGATTCTGGGGGCAGCATTTTGATACATGGAGTGGAGGCATCCAGGGGGTGTGGGGGGTGCAGCATTGTTCCTACACCCTCCTCCTCCAAAAAACACCGGGTCTCTGAGGCACAGCCCCCCCCTGACCCAGCCCCATCTGCTGGCCCCCATAAGCAAAGAGCATAAATACCAGGACACACTTCCATTCAGAGTTAGTCTACAAGCTGCAGGCATCTGGGGGGGGAGGAGTCAGACAGAGATGAGGATATTAACATCCATCCACGCTCAGGAACAATTGGCTAGCTTTGCAGCGTGAAGAAAAATAGTTTTTAACCAGGAGACGGGAAAAAAGTGCAGCGCAGTTAGCCTTAAATATTTTAAAATATGCACTTTTCACATAACAAAAGCAGTGAGTCGAAACCCTCAAACGAACAAATGCCTCTCAGGGATCACATTAAAAGAGAAGTTTAATTTATTATGGAATAAATAAATAAAAAAGTAAGCATCTGGCTCATTCCTATCCCCTTTAGATCCAGAAACTAAATGTGTTGAGCCGATGTTAAGATACTAGTGTATTAAATTACCTGCTGACCCCACTGGAAAAACGATCTAGAAATAAGGAAACATTTCAATTAAGTGTATTTACTCTTAATTTAAGTAGGTAAAGTAGGTAGTTTGCCAATAGAATGAGTATTTTTACTCTTAAAATAAGATAATTAGATAATATGTACTTGAAATAAGACAATGCAATTGTGTTTTCTAATTTTAAGTGTAAATTGTCTTATTCCATTGGCAAAATGTCTCTTACCTCCTGAATCCGAGAACAAATGCACTTATTTTAAGAAAAATTACTTATCTAGATTTCCTTTTTTTTCCTCCAGTGCCCCTAGTCTGAAAACATTTTTACACACTTTTACACAACTCCAAAAAATCTTCCATTTCAAACTCTATATTTTTCAATTTTCCATATTTTAACCAGCAATTTTATATATTTTTTTAATGTTAACAATAAATCTTTATCTGATTTTACTACCATCTTGACAAACAGGTTCATTTTCGAATCTCTATTAAATAAGTTGAGGAAATTATAACATATTTCACTTAAACTGTAGATTTAAATAACAGTTCAACAGGAAAAGAACAAAAGAAAATAAGAAAAGGAGCAGTTTGGTGTTTAAACTGGTCCCAGTAAAAGATCTTTTATTTCAAATGATTTTTTTCCACATCTTCTAACCCAAAAGGGAACCAAAAATAAAGCAAGCTGTAAGTTCAACACAGTTTTAATGTTTTAATCAAAGAAAGGGTCATAATCCAAATATAAAGTAATGTAAAAAGATCTGATTTGTATATTTTAGTTAAATTAGTGTAAAAACTAAATTCCGGAACCTGATTCGTCTCATTATGCTTATCCACAACTTGGAAAATAACTAAAGTAAATTACTGATCTTTTACAAAATGCAATAAAAAATATGCTTTCAAAGAGTCACCTTTAAGTATTTCTCAACATTTCAACTGTCAGCTAAAGTAGGAATTTTAGCTTTAATAAAAGCTATGTAACTGTTGTACTTTGGAAATGAAATCACAGAAACAGGGAGGAGATGCTGCAGATCTGCAGGTTTCTCATGTCCCTTAAAAGGGAAAAAACAACTTTTCATCAAATGTCTCACAGAAAAGGTTAACCCAAACATCCAAAGGTCATGGCGGCCATTCTTAAAGTGCTCGGGATTTTACCATCCCGTAACTCTTAGGAGGTAATGTGGAAGCAAAGCTCCAGCCATGGTGTCAGAAATCAGAGACGTGGCACCAACCTTGGTTACGTGTTGATAATCCAAGGCTTTTTGAACAGGAATTAATGTTCCTGTTATTTACAGAGAGCACAGAGTTGTGCAATCGACCGTGTCCCGTAAATCCAGCCCTGGAGCATCCACGTTACATTTTAAGGCCCGCTCTGAATGGCCCTAAGCTGATTAACTAAGAATACTGCCTAAATGCCAGGCTGAGGATGCCGTGTTAAAAAAATACACGCAAGGACAGGAGGTGATAAGAATGGCATCCAACACATTACGATGCAGAAAAACTCTTTACCTCACGCTTCCTGGGAACCGCCGAGTCATAGTTGTCCTCCAAATCCTCCTCGGCGGCTGCGTTGATGTTGGTAACTTCAGACAGGTTCTGAGGCGGCTCCAGTAACTCTGGAGTGGAGCGGCGGCCGTAACGTTTGCTGCCTTTCACAAACTTCGGTTGGATCTCAGGAGACTCTGTAGGAAAACGATGACAAAAAGTAAAAACTTATCCCCTATTTGCTTCTTATAATGTCACTCAAAAAACTGATATGCTGAAAGTACATACGCACAAATCTAAAAATGTAAAGTACTTCTTTAGGAAACCAGTTTATTTGATGCATAATGCATCCAAAATAGTAAGAATTATCGGTGATGATGCATTTAATAAATAGGAAAAAGCTTTTCTGCTTATAAAAGCTGATTAAAAGCTGTTGTCTGATTTATTTTAAGCATCTTTAGTTCAAGTCCAGACATGAAGACTAAGAATAACCTCTGTGACTAATATGCACTCAACATCTCCAGCAGCCACTTCTCTAAAGCTGACAACTTCTCTAAATTCGCTGACCAAACAAAGCTTGCTATCACGTTACAGATCAAGAGTGTTTAAGGCGTTTTTTTCCAGGAAATTCACCTGATATGTAAATATTATTCTTTCCACTGACATGTTAACTAAAACAACTACTTTTACCTTTACCATCCCGTCTATCAAGATCAACCATCAGAGCATTTAATCTATGGAAGAAAAACAGTCTAGTTGGAATCTGCCTTTTTTTAACACTGAATTTTAAACACTGAGTTTTTTTAACACCGAATTTTAAACACTGAATTATTTTAACACCGAATTTTAAACACTGAATTATTTTAACACCGAATTTTAAACACTGAATTATTTTAACACCGAATTTTAAAATGAATTTTTTTAACACCGAATTTTAAACATTGAATTATTTTAACACCGAATTTTAAACACTGAGTTTTTTTAACACCGAATTTTAAACACTGAGTTTTTTTAACACCGAATTTTAAACACTGAGTTTTTTAAACACCGAATTTTAAACACTGAGTTTTTTTAACACCCAATTATAAACACTGAGTTTTTTTAACAACGAATTTTAAACACTGAATTTTTTAGACATTGAATTCCTTACATTCAATTTTTATCTGGTAAAAATTCACCCGAAAAAAATTCAGCTGCAAAAATTCAGCCATAAATGTGTTGACCTTTTGGTGAACTCAAGCGAAAGCAATCTACACTCGATAGAGTCTAGCAGCTTCAAGCTAATTAAATTAGCTCATTTGGTCACATCGGCTGGGCTCAGCGCTGTTCGTCAGTTAGCTACTAACAGACAGCTATTAGAGTTTTTCCTCTTATCAGACTGGGTGAAACAACTGAGCCAATCACAGCTAGTACGGCACCCCTGTCTGCCAAGGCTCTTGGTTTGATCCAGAAGAAGCGGCCGGCGGCAAACCGGCCGCTGGCCGAAATGAAGAAGAAAAAAAGTTTTTTTGCAGCTGAATTTTTACCGGATAAAAATTGAGTGTAAGGAATTCAATGTCTAAAAAAATTCTGTGTTTAAAATTCGGTGTTAAAAATAAGGCAGAATCCAATGACACTGTTTTTCTTCCATATTAATCTATTTTGGACTAAAATGGCAGGTTCCTGTTTGTGTAATATGAAGACGTATCAGAGTGACAGTCGTGACGCAGAAACACAACAGTCAGCTAGTTTGCCGCAGAGTCAGCATGGGGGCTCCAGCTCACCTTCTACACTAGGATGACTTTGTGAAAAGCAACGCTTTCTTCCATATTCAATATTTAACTTGACTGTTATTCATCCAGACGTTACCTGGCTCTGACACGGGTTCCTCCTCAGCTTGGGGCTCAATGGTTGATGACAAAACCAGGATGAGTGCATGCTTGAACTGGTCAAAATTAACCTAAATTAAAACAAACAAAAAAATGTTGGATAAAACTTTTTTTTAAAACCTACAACTTGCATTTTATTCCCCCAAAATGACAAATATACTCCAACAAAAACACAGCTGGAAGTTTTCAAAGTCACAAAGTTTTTAAAAAGTAAACTAAAGATCTTAGAGGTGGTGGGATCAGCTCATCCCAATCAGCTCTGGTGTTTTTCCACAAACTGATGATGCAGCAGAACACAAGAAAGCTTTGCTGCAGATGGAACTGGATTAACAAACAAACGACCAAAAATCAAAATGGCCTGGGGTGGATAAGGAAGTTCTGAAATACCTGAAGTTATGAATGCATTGAGGCTTACATCGATTGGCTTTTGATTAAAAAGAAAACTGCATCTAAAGTTAGGGTTTGTTTATTTTTATAGAAAAGTCTGGCTTGTCGTTCTTGGTGCAGAATTCCAGCAATATCTCGCATCTTTCTCAAAGAAAGTTTTACCAAATTCCTTAAGCTGACTGTAATTTTCGGCTTGATAGCGGGTGTCCCTGGCTGTCCGGGGCTTGGATCGGGAGCAAAGGAGGTCATACTTCAACAATCAGCAGCTGCCAACCCTGAATATGCTGATTTTCTTTGTGCCTTGGAGGCCGACGGCTGGCGCCTTTAGAAATCCTTTATCTTCTTTCTCTCTTTTTGACGTTATTGTTGAGCGCCATGATGGTGCAATCAGTTCACTGGCCTCTAGTCTAGCGTTTCCCCTGCCTACACATAAACCCGCACATGCAAGACAATAAGCACCCGTCTGCAACACGCTTATACACAAACAAAACCTCAGGCAAGTGTGGAGAGAAGCATTTTGGAAAAAAACAAAAAACAACATCTATGGAGAACAAACTGAATTATCAGTCAACATCACACGTAAACAGTTTTAATATTTGATTCATGCTTTTGTTTTAGATATTCACATGAAGAAAGAAATCCTGCGAGTAATGATTAACTAGACTGGTTGTCTTGGTGATAGACGCACTGAATGAGAGCCAATGAGAGGGAGATTTTCTCAACAAGAGGGCAAACAAAGCAGTAACATGTATACAGACAAGGAGCTGGGCTGTAGCAGAGCAGCCAATAATACTAAGAGGTTTTCCTCTGGAAAGCTAAAGAAATGAACACAATTAGAGGATGTGCTTCATGCTAATTCAGGGTTTATACATCAATGAGTAACTCTGATTTGATGCTTTTTAATGCTCTTAGAAATAATCTTAATCAACAAGTTCCCATGACTATATATATATATATATATATATATATATATATATATATATATATATATACGGCAAAATCCTTGGTCATCTTCACCATGGACAGGCAGCAGCCATGTCCCGCGTTCCTCGTTTTCCCGCAACTTTGGTTCAAATTTGCATTTTCCCTTTCCCAACTTTAGCCTTTTCTCCGCCTCAAGCTTCTTTTCCCGAAGCATTTCAATGCCACGATTATCAAATTTCATGAATTTTAATGCCAATTAAGGCCTTAATTTATAAAAAAAAATTATTTAATGACTTTTAATGATTTTTAATGACCCACAGAAACCCTGTAATTTGTAAAACTACAAGGTAGGAAGCGGCTCTGATTCTGACAGCGAGTCCGAGGATGATCACCCATCCCCGGGAAAACGCAGACGTATCAGTGACCCATCAGAAAATAGTATAACATTTGTTGAAGCACTGCCCACACATCAGCCGGTCCACATCCACCCAAAAGCCAAACCAGAGCCTTTAGTCCACTATGATCCCACACAGGTCGGAGTGGATGTGTCGGATCAATGATTAGAAAGGATTCTGTAAAAGCTCCAGTGGCCTGTGGCTGTAATTTATGATATCAGCTATAAATGAATTGGTTTTGTTCAGGAGCAGTTTGAAGGTCACTTTTTCACGCAGAGATTTTATCCTTGAACTGGTAAAACAGTTGCAGGCAAACCGCAGGTTTCCAGCTTCTCCGTCGCTGAAGAGCAGCTTTAGTGAGGCGCAGAGAACAGCTGAAGGTGCTTCAACGCTGCACAAAAAACGCTCTTATTACATTTGTCATAAATGTGTAAAGGTGGTCTGTGGGAAATGTTTGGGGGGAATCAATCAATTTCTGTAAATAAAATTGTAATTTAAAACTTTGAACCTGTGTATTAAAGAGTCTTACTCTACAGATTTATTTTTAATACAAATTTAGAACGTAAATAATAATAGCGTACAATACAGCCTTTGAAAAATATATATTAGACCTGATTTAAGGTTTACGTATCCACAATGGGTTTATATTGCACACTAGAGCCATCTCAGTTGATGACATCATCACTCCTCATGCGTTCCGTTGGGGAAAATGTCAGCGGTCTAATTGGCGGCCAGTGGGAGTTCTAGTGGGATCAGAATTCAGCGAGTCCTGGAGCTAAACAGCATTTCTGAAAGATCCAGGAAGATCTTTCTCAAAGACTTTGTAGGGCGTTTCAAGACTTTCAAGGCCCTTCGCTTTGCTGAAGGAGATAATAAATCTCACCCTGGCAGTGAAGTTGTCTTGGTCCTGGAGAAGCTGATGGAGAAGGATAGGCGTTGCATCGTCCAGGTTCAGAGATTGACAGAGATCAGAGAGCTCCTCCGGACTCAGAGAGCCGCAGCCGCTTGAGTCAAAGCTGTAGAAAACCTCCTTCAGGCGCTCCTCAGAGTTGTCCTGCTCTTGGCCGTCATCCATCCCACAGGACAGCAGCCTGCCCTGAACGATAAAGACGCACAAGTTCACAGTCAGCTGCAAAATAAATGAAAGTTTACAGATCAGTCATATGAAGCAGCCTTACTAACAGGGTGGGAGCGTCAATTTCAACAACGCTGGGGGAGCCGCTCAGCAACCGAGCTTCTGACAAACTCCTCCAGCGTCATGCCAGGCGGAGGCTTTGGCTAATCCAATTACAGCAAGGAGACTATCAGGTAAATGTTGCTCAAGAACTGAGCTTTAAACACACACTTCTTCAGATGCAGTGGAAGAGATGCTTTTATTGGATCCGATTACGGTGGTTACACAATCAGAATCATTTAAAACAAGCTGAAGGAAAGAAAAGAAAGCAGAGAAATGTAACCTTGTAGAGTCTGAAGGATTGAAGCGTCGTCTGAGCTGCGACACGGATCCTTCAGGAACAAATGTTTGATCTGATCCAAGGGGACTGATAACAGAGCAGTAAAATGATCAAATGTTTACAACAAAGTACAGGAAGAGAGGTTACTCAGGGTCACTGTCCCAACATTGACTGGTTCACACCATGAATTACAAACCAACAGATCCAGTTCTTCAGTTTCGTTTATGATGCTTCGTTTGGTTTTATTGAAAAAGAGGATAGCGTGGTTGAACTTGGCATTCAACTGAGAGCGTCCATTTCTCTAAAGTAGTGAAAACTTTGTTTTGAAATAAAAAAAAAAGAAACTACAGATCCCAGATGGTTGATAAAACAGAGAATGGATTATCAGGAACAGAAGGGAAAACAAAACTTGAACTCAGAGTCATGTGAGCAACCTGGAGCCTCAGGCAGAAAATGAGAAACAGCAGCAAGATGCGGGAGTTTTTTTCTCATCCTACCTACAGTTAGGTGTGTGCTGTTTTTTTTACTTTAAAAGTCATCTTAACGGGACGCCTGAGAGAAGACCCGTCCCACTAATGCTGCATACTGCTGGTCAGCTGGCTGTAATCAACCCACTAGATCTTCCATTGGCTTGCAAGAAAAATCTTATTTGGTTGTTTAGAAGAATCTCCTAATATGAAACAAACACAATCCGAGCTCAGCTACCTCAGCAAATATTCTGAGTAATTAAAGCAGGCTCCTATCAGAAAAGTTAGCGCTCCCCACGCTCAGATTGAGCATTTTTGCATTGTGCATGTGCCGTCTGACCCCTTCTGCTTCTCCAGCTGCTCTCAGAGATCATCAAGCACTCAGGCAGGCCAGGTGTCCCCCACACTCCAGACTCGGGGACCGCCTTTCAACCCAAACAATAGCTGCCTCCTAACAAAAATCAATCAGGGCCCTACATCTGGACTTTTATTGAGCATAGAGCTCATTTTAGCAAATCCCTCTAAAGAAAGTGAGTGATGAGTAAACTGGAGGGATCTAAAAATGTATTTTCATCTACAGCTGGTTCTCTTTGCTTTCATCAGTCTCTCCTGTTGGACTTTCACCTCCGCTACATCAGAGCTGCTTAGGAGACGACAGCTGCTGCGACCCAAAGATCACCCACTCCAACTTATAACAATGCGGTTAATCCCTGCACGCCATCCCAGCATTCATAGGTGACTGCATTCATTATCTCCAGCAGATGTTAGTCAGGAAAGTGCTCTTCTCTTTTAAATTAGCAGCCTGTTGATACGTCAGGACATTGCTGTAATCATGACAATCATTTATCATTCTGTTAAAATCTGGATTATACAAGGGAATAAATATAAAGAAAGAAAATAAGAAAGAAAAGTTTGGAACACAGAGCATCTAGATAAACTTCTATATACACAAAATTTCCCAATTTGAGAATAGCTCCCACAACATCGTGGATATTTCATTACACAGGCGAAAAGAAATACACTCTTTGTATGTTTCCATGTACTGAACATAAGCACACTGATGAAGTAATGAGGGATTATTTCACAAACCCAAAATCTAGAGTAGCTTTTTCTTTCTGTTTTAAAAAGGCTACAAACAAACAAAGACAGAAAAACTTGACTTTTGTTTAAAAAACTGAAATAATGTGAAGATTTTCACATTCTGATTAAAATCTAAATGTTTTTTTGTCCATAATCATTAATCCAAAGATGAAAAAGTATAAATTTTTCTCTAATCAAAGGTAATCTTTGATTGGAAGAACAAATATTAACAGTTTAACAAAACTAACTAAATAAATGAACTCTTGATTGAGCATTAATCTGTGGGTTCACTGCCAGTAACTCAATAAACTAAACACTGAAGAGTTGGAAAATAAGTTAAAGAAAATTAACATTGTGTGGTGCAGATTAACAAGAAAATAACAATAAATATGCATTTTTTCCCTAACAAAATCATCCAACCAGGACCTGCAGCACACATTTTAAACATTAAAAAAATATACTTTATATTTCTTCCATCTTCTACCCAGCTTTAAGTTTGCAGCTCAGAAATTGACTGATAATTTCTTGCACTAAGCACAGCTATAAAAGTTATTAATTTAAGAAAAATCTCACCTAATACCTTATTATGAATTTCCTAAATTCAGCAGAAATGTTCAAAGCAAAATAAAGGATGATCTAATGTTTATGGATCAACAGGGACCAATAAGAAGAGTTTTCCATCTAAACACAGTTAGGAAGATACCAACTAATGTTTATTTATTTTCAATAAACCTCATTGCTTAGCTTTATAGGTGTAGATTTTTATTCATTATTAACAAACTTTAAAAGTTGGAGACACATGAATATTTGGCGTTTAACAGCCTAACCGTATAGAGCAATGATGGGCTAAGCTAACAGCTAATTTCACAGTTTAAAGGAAACATTTAGCAAACTTCATCTTCAAGAAAGAGAAATAACATTTCAACTAAAGCTTTAATTTTGTTAGTTTGAGCAATAATGAATAAATAAATGAAAAACTTACCGAAGCCCCCAAACTCGGCTAACAGTTGTCTGCTTCTCAGATCCAAATCTTTGTGGTAAAATGTCAATAAAATAAAAAGTTTAGAGGATGTCTGGCTGCTGGCAGCGCCGCCGGGTTTATCCTGGTAGGGAGGCTTTCCTCTCAGGCCCAGAGTATGAGCTGAACGGCTTCTTCTTCCTGAGGAAAAACTACAGCCTGCTGAGGAAAAAAATCTCTTTCCCTGCTTCCTTGAGTCACTCTGGATGTTCAATCCCTCCAGAGGTTTGTAGCGGATTTTGAAAAGCGGCTGATAGAGGAAGGGGCGGGGCTACTGAGAGCAGCGGCCTGACTGGTTCCTTTCTCCCCCTAGTGGACAGAAGGAGAACTGCTCTGCACTGTCTTCTAAAGTATGGAAGCAAATCGTTACCATATTTCAAATGAAAAAGCATTTTCAGAAATGCTTTTTCATTTTAAGAATGTGGCTGCATTGTTTGACTCATAAATGAAATTAGTAATCAATAACCCTGTTTGCACTTCAATTCTCGTCTTTAACAATGCTCATCTTTTTACTAAATTAAAATAAAAAAGAAGACATTTGTTTTATTTTTCAAAATGTACCCCAGCAAATACATACCAAAATTAAATCTGAAATGTAAAATTTGAAAATGAAAAAGCATTTTCAGAATTACTTTTTCATTTTTAAGAATGTGGCTCCATTATTTGACTCATAAATGAAATTAGTAATCAGTCATCCTATTTGCATTTGCAAATATCCTATCTGCACATTTTATGCATAATCAAAGAGAAAACACAGCGGACATTGCTTTTTCGTTTTCGTGGTCTGCCAGCAAAGTACTCGAAACAGAAAAAGCATTCTGAGCGGCAGGCGCAGCAGAGTGACGTCAGCAGCCGCTCTTCCTCAGGTCCTTGCTGACCAGGCTACCCATCTTTTTCAGTGGGGGGCGCTGTGCACATTTGCATACATTTTTCATACATTAACAATTACTTGACAACAAAAACACTGTGGTTAATTATGCACATCAATATACTAACATTAAAGATGATAAGTACAGAATTCCTGCTCTTTTCAGAACTAGATGTTTTTATATAGGGTAAAGAGAAAATGTAAGTCATCTCGGATTCTTCGGTTAATCATAGATAAATAACTATTTTAATTTAATTTTTGTAGATATTAGTACTTGTAATTATCAATTTTATGCAGATTGGTTATTGATAAAAGTAGGTAAGTAATGACAATGGAAAACTTTATCCACTATAACTTATAACTAGGAAGCAAGGATGTTTAAATATGTGTCTATTTGTTATCAAAGGGTGGAGGAAAGTATAGTTAGTATTTATTTGGAAAATATGGATGTTGTGGTTGTTAATTATCCTGTTGGATTAGTATAGATTGACACTAAGGTTCTGGTGTCGATCCATTTTCGGCCACCCCTCGGTGTACATTGGATATTGCCTGGAAACCCTTATAAAAATTTTCTGGCTAAGGACCCCCAAACTGATGGCGAGATGGAGCAGGGACCCCATAATTATATATATTTTATGAAATTGTTTTATATCAAACTGGTCCTATAGTCACTCTTACAGATGGAGTAATGTAACTAAAGTAATTTCTTCCTGGGATTATTAAAGTATTTCTGATTCCTGGTTGATGGGACAGGTGTTGTGAATGAAACGGTGCCCAGCTTGAAAGAGCTCCTGTGTGTCGCTGAATGTGTGCATTGATGACTGAAAGACATCTTCTGCCTCCATTTATCCAGTGTGTTGAATTCATGTTAATGCGTAATCATAGACATTTCAATTAGTGGAAAAAATTGCAGGGTTCAATATTAAAAAAAAGTCTAATCAACCAAAACTTTTGCGACCCCTATGCAATACCCCCCTGTTGATGACCTCTGTTCTAAAGCTTTTACTATGTTTCTATCTCAAAGGGTCTCTTTGTACGGAAAAACACACAACCGTAGCGAACTTCTGTGAGAAAAAGGTTGAAAACTCAGGGACGCCTCAAAGAAACTCTTCATAGGATAGGTCATGTGGCCTACTGATAATCCAATGGGTGCTAAACAAAACAGAAAGCCAACAAGAAATCTTAAACATTGTATTTTACTTATTATACCTGATCTTACATTTGAAAAGTGAGATTTAAAATATCTTTTTACACTAAGTTTGTTTCTGATAGAAATGAGTCAGACATCTCTGAGATGTTGATTTTCCTTTACATAGTATTAAAAAAACTTAAAAAAATATCTGAAACATTTTTAATCAGTTGAATAAAACTTTATTCAAGTTGCAGCAATCAAACCCTTTTTTTTAATAGCAGGCCGGCTTATTTGTGTGCTACCAGTTATATTTCGAGTAATAACCTTGGGAAATGAGCTCTTTTTTTTAAGTTAGAAGGCCTCTTTGCCATCACCCTTATCTTTTGCTACCTCGCTAGATTATGCATGAGATTAAAGTTAGGACTTGGACTGAGCTATTTCAACACATGTAATAGTCCTCTTTCTATCACATCCAGGCAAAATACAAGCAAACACCTGATTACCAGAGATGGCAAAGTACTCACTTTCCGTACTTGAGTAAAAGTACAGATACTTGTGTTAAAAAAATACTCTGGTAAAAGTGGAAGTACTGATTAAACTTCTTTACTCAAGTAAAAGTAACAAAGTACAGGCTTGTAAATTTACTTAAAGTATAAAAATAAAAGTAGAAACCACTTTTTTCATGCCGTTGCCTACATTTTAAATGGATGTCTGCCAATAGGACTAGATCTCCGTTGTGTTCATTTTCAATCATCTCGTCGTCCATGCTACTATGCTAACGCCACCGCCACCAAGCTGCAATGATTTGCCGCCAATGAATACCGCCGAATCTGTCGATTCATCTTGTAGTGGTGCGTCAAATGCAACGTAGATTCCCATCCAATTAGATTGAATTTGGTATTGATGACGTGAAAAATAATAACGGTAACTCCATTGAAATGATTCAAAACTAAAGTAACGAGCCAATTTTTTAAAATGTAAGGAGTAGAAAGTACAGATATTTGTGTAAAAATGTAAGGAGTAGAAGTAAAAAGTCAACATAAAAATAAGTAGTAAAATAAAGTAAAAATATCAGAAAAATCTACTTGAGTACAGTAACGAAGTATTTGTACTTCGTTACTTCCCATCTCTGCTGATTACATAAATCTCCTATGCTTATGAATAAAGGTGGACCTCACTATCTGTCTTAGATATTCATCACCAGGTGGCACCACTTTTGCTTTTAGATCTTTCTTAATTCTTTGAGTGATGATAAGCATCAATATCCTGTTGGCCCTGGCTGAGAATCTGCTCTCAAATCCCACTGAAACTTTGAAATAAGGCAATATGGATCTATATTTTATAACAGTTAAATATCAAACTCTGAATGTTGAAGCTTACATAGGGGTGTTACTGAACAACTTTGGTGAGCCAGTGTGAACAGCAGCATTAGTTTCCTGTTCTTACATGACAGCTGGTTTAGACCAAATCCATAGTGTGTTTTGGGATTTTTTTTAATTCCCCTGGTCTAAATAAGTGTTTTTCTAAATCCACGTAGTCTGCGTATCATCTGGAAGCAGTCTTAGTGTTGTTAGATTCCACTTTTTCACTATCCTGCTGCTTAGTCTGAACAATGACAAAAAACAAAACAAAACCCATATAACCAATTTGCTTTAGGGCAAAATTTGATCTGTTTGTGTAACCTTGATTTGTTGTTTGGGGTCATCTGGCATAGCTTTTATCACTTGGAAAGGGACCATCAAGAGGGCCACAACTGAAGTATGTTTAGCATTAAATGATTAACTTATAATCATTGCTATAATTAGAATAAAGCATCACTCAACATAAAAATCCCTAAACAATTGTAAGCAAAAGCACATAAAAAAAGCTATCAAATGATAAAACTGGAGCTTAAAACAATGATAAAATATATGATGAGCACAATTGAAGCCATGAAGACAATTATAAATAAAAAATGATTGCAAGCTTATTGGCTGCAATGTTTCTCTTCCACATAACTATATTTACACACAACCTCAATCTCCCTATTATTGATCTTTTTTTATATTTGAAAGGTGACCTAGGGTGCATTGTAAGGCTCCTTTCAAATAAAAGTATTATTATTATTATTATTATTATTATTATTATTATTATTATTATTATTATTATTATTAGTATAAAGAGGCATTTGTACAGAGAACTGCAGTTCCTCTGTGGTGGAGGTTTGAGGAAATTAAAAAACTGAAATTTGAGCTCGGAATAACTTACGCTGAAGCTGCAAAAAGGATCCCATCTCAGTTAGAAAAAACCAAACCAACAGTTCAACACACGGCAAATCCAAAACCTCTGGAGAAAAGTCCAAAAATTGAAGAAGACTCACTGATTGTTAAAAAGAAAGATTTTGTTCTATTCATGGTGGAAGAGATCAATTGTAGTGCACAGACGTAATAATAGTGAAAGCTGCAGAAAATATCTGGAAGTTTAAGACTTAAACGGTTGGAAGCATGATGGGAAAACCGATAGGAGCGTCAGAAACTGGCAGAATTACAATGAATTCAAGATAAATAAAAATGATGAGGGATAAGGTGATTTAGTATTTATTATGTTGGGTTAAGTTAAAAATTTTTTTTTGGAGTGAATCATTTCCTGTTTCCTTGCTGTACTCCATATCAGTTGGTGGCGGTAATGCACTTCTCACAAGTTTGCCAACAGCCATAAAACCTCATAAGAAGAAGAAAAACTCCAGTTCCCACAATGCTTTGCTCTGCGTTTGCTGGTCATTGACCTTATAATCTCCTCTGGTTGGACTGGTTATGTATGTAGGATGAACAATGCATCACTTTCTTTAGCAGACGGAACCTGTTCTTTACGTCTGTCTCCCTTTTTGAAACATAAACAAGCAGCAGCAGCAGAAGGGAGATGAACATTGACCTCCAGTCCCTATATTTCCCAACACTCCTGCTGGTTTCTCTGCTGCTCCACCCAAACTGAACCAGGAAGCAGATCTGGAGCCTAAAGAGAATTAGGGAAAATCACTTTGCCTGTGGCAAATATGAAGAAAGTTCTGTTATTTCTGCTGACTGCTTATCTTTCAGTGCCTGTGCTTCTCTCTCTGTTCCCCTGGATACTGAGCAATGCCATATTTTCTCACCAATGTAAGTACTGTAGCTCCAGTGTTTGCTGTTTATAACAAGCTTAGCTACTCTATGGTGGAACAGTTTATATCAACTGTAAATTATTAATCAAAATAACAGTATTTTTGTTGACATTTGTAAAATTTAGTTGAGTTACTTGTGCAAATTGGGAAATCTTAATTGCATTTACAATGAAAAGTATTTAATTGTGCAAGTTGCATAAATATAGTTAAAACTAAAGATTTTCCTAATGATTTAACTTTCACATCTTACTTATCTGTAGTCCCAACTTATCCTGATGCTTTTAAACAAATTCCAGTTCATCCAGATGCTGGATGAACTGGAATTTGATCTGCAATCAGATCAGATTCCACGTGTGTGTTATTTAATCTAAGCGTAGAGTCAACCGTTCTGTTTATTTGTGATCATCAGTGATCAAACAGCAGCATGGAGATGGATACATTGTGGGGTGACATTGTGTAGAAGCATGCAGGTGGTGTTTTCAGGCTCAATCCATCTTCTGAAAAGTGCATCTGAGAAAGTGAAATCCTACCAAAACTTTACCTTTCACCTAAATGGGGAAGGCCAGATAAGGGTGTCAGCAACCAGAGGAAACCAAGAGAACTATTGCAACTCTGAAGGAATTACAGAGATTCATAGCTTTAATTAGGACATTATTTTGGCAGTAAAATCCTGGAAATCTTGGTTTTATAGAGAAATGATGACATCACTGAAAAAATTTTGAAAGGCTTTTGTACATTCACCGGCCACTTTATTAGGTACCCCATGCTAGTAACGGGTTGGACCCCCTTTTGCCTTCAGAACTGCCTCAATTCTTCGCGGCAT